CGTCTGAGTAATGTGAAGACACACATGAGAACTCACACGGGAAAGAAACCGTATAAGTGCGAACTGTGTGATGCTACCTTCTCGCAATCGGGTTATGTGAAGACACACATGAGAACTCACACTCGAGAGAAAACGTTTAAGTGCGATCTGTGTGATGCTACCTTCACACAATCGGGTTCTGTGAAGACACACATGAGAACTCACACTCGAGAGAAAACGTTTAAGTGCGATCTGTGTGATGCTACCTTCACACAATCGGGTTCTGTGAAGACACACATGAGAACTCACACTCGAGAGAAAACGTTTAAGTGCGATCTGTGTGATGCTACCTTCTCGCAATCGGGTTATGTGAAGACACACATGAGAACTCACACTCGAGAGAAACCGTATAAGTGCGATCTGTGTGATGCTACCTTCTCACAGTCAGGTCATGTGAAGAAACACCTGAGAACTCACACGAAAGAAAAAATCATTCAAATGTAACATTTGAAGTGAGTGAAGCTTACGCTCTGAAGAAACTCTATAACCACACACGACAATGTATAATAATTATAGAGATGTCGTACAGATGTAAGCAGAAAGATGAATGATGAATGATGAATTGGAGTAAAAGGAGAAAAGGAAAAAGAATGTTGATAAAAACAGACATTACACTGAGTGGGATTTCTCTTTATAAACAATTGTGTCATCAGAAATACACACCATTAAAAGGCATCGAAAAAGCACTTGATATCATGTACTCCCGATAACATGCATGTAAGGTGTAAGTAGCATAGCCCCGAACGATTGTCCTCAGCTCCTTGTAAACACTGTTTTCAAATGAATAAATTATTTATTGATATTCTAAATGATATAATTGCATTCCTCATCTGTCAACGTGTAGTTGTGCATACTTGTTTTTTGTATGATCACGCCGCGCCGCTGTCACGCGCAAAAGAAACCATGGAAACGATGGGGGTAATGTCAAGGCGCTAGCATGTATTGTCATACACCACCGACACCTCGATAGTCAATATCCACACCCGACAATCAACGTCAAAATCAATATCAATATCAATGAACAACACCAACAATCGATATCAGCATCAGCAACTGATGCACTCGTACGGTTTTTCGCGCGTGCGTACCGTCACACGTATTGTTACAGAATCATACAATCAACGCGCGCGTACCGCTACACGTACTATTACAGAATCATACAATCAACGCGCGCGTACCGCTACACGTACTGTTACAGAATCATACAATCAACGCGCGTATACCGCTAGACGTACTGTTACAGAATCATACAATCAACGCGCGCGTACCGCTACACGTACTATTACAGAATCATACAATCAACGCGCGCGTACCGTTACGCGTATTGCTCCAGAATCATACAATCAACGCGCGCGTACCGCTACGCGTATTGCTCCAGAATCATACAATCAACGCGC